TCCAGAGTAGCTGGGATTACAGGCGCGTGCCCGGCTAATTTTTCTGTATTTTTAGTAGAGACGGGGTTTCACCATCTTGGCCAGGCTGGTCTTGAACTCCTGACCTCGTGATCCACCCACCTCGGCCTCCTAAAGTGCTGGGATTACAGGCGTGAGCCACCGCGCCCGGCCAACTCTTCATTCTTTTAATGATTACCTTTATGTGAAAAAAATTGTTACTTTTGATATAATACAGTTTATCAAATTGCTCTTTTATGATTAGCCCCTTTGTGTCTTTTGTTTGTTTGAGACAGGGTCTTGTTCTGTTGCAAAGGGTGGAGTGCAGCGGCACAATCATAGCTCAATGTAGCCCCAAACTCCTGAGCTCAAGCAGTCCTCCTGCCTCAGCCTCCTGAGTAGCTGGGACCATAGGCATGAGCAGCCATACCCAGCCACCTCCATATGAATTTTGGAATGATTTTTTCACAAAAACAACCTACTGGGATTTTTAACTAGGATTATGTTGAATCTGTAGCTTAGGAAGAATAAATTATTTCATAATATTCAGTCTTCCAATCCATGAATATGCTATATCTCTGCATTTTTTTCCTCTTACATTTCTTATTATGAAAATTTCAAACATATAGAAAAGCAGGAAGGATTATAGTACAACTAATTCTGTACATTCATCATCTAGATTGAATAGTTGTTGATAGTGTGTCTTATTTGCGTATATATGTGTGTGTGTATATATATAAAATAACAAAAATTAGCTGGGTATGATGGCATGTGCCTATAGTCCCAGCTATGAAGGACGCTGAGTTGGAAGGATCATTTGAGCCCAGGAGTTCCGGCTGCAGTGAGTGTGAGCCAGGATCACTCCACTGCACTCTAGCCAGGGTGACAAAGTGAGACTCTGTCTCTAAAAACAAACAAAAATTAGGGAACAATTGGCCAATTTGCTCTTCTCAAACTATTTCATAGTAAATTATAGACATCATAGATACTTTACCCATAAATATTTCAACATATATCTTAAAAGTCTAAGGATAGTCTCCTATATAATCACAATTCCATTATCATATCTAAGAAAATTAATTGTTCCCTAATTTTTTTTTTTTTGAGACGGAGTCTCCAACTGTCGCCTAGACTGGAGTGCAGTGGCACGATCTCGGCTCACTGTAAGCTCCACCTCCCGGGTTCAAGTGATTCTTCTGCCTCAGCCTCCTGAGTAGTTGGGACTACAGGCGTCCGCCGCCACATCCAGCTAATTTTTTGTATTTTTAGTAGAGACGGAGTTTCACCATGTTGACCAGGATGGTCTCGATCTCCTGACCTCGTGATCCGCCTGCCTCAGCCTCCCAAAGTGCTGGGATTACAGGTGTGAGCCACCGCACCTGGCTGATTGTTCCCTAATTTTTGTTTGTTTTTAGAGACAGGGTCTCATGCCCTCACCCTAGCTAGAGTGCAGTGGAGCGATCCTGGCTCACACTCACTGCATCCTGGAACTCCTGGGCTCAAATGATCCTTCCACCTCAGCATCCTTCGTAGCTGGGACTATAGGCACATGCCATCATATCCAGCTAATTTTTGTTATTTTTTATAAAGATGGGGTCTTCCTATTTGCCCAGGCTAGTCTTGAACTCCTGGGCTCAAGCACACCTCCCATCTTGGCCTCCCAAGGTGCTGGGACTACAGGCATGAGCCACCGCATTCAGCCTGTTTCCTAGCTTTTTTTTTTTTTGAGACCGAGTCTAGCTCTGTTGCCCAGGCTGGAGTGCAGTGGCATGATCTCAGCTCACTGCAAGCTCCACCTCCCAGGTTCACGCCATTCTCCTGCCTCAGCCTCCCAAGTAGCTGGGACTACAGGCGCCCGCCACTACGCTCGGCTAATTTTTTGTGTGTGTGTTTTTAGTAGAGATGGGGTTTCACCATGTTAGCCAGAATGGTCTCGATCTGACCTCATGATCCGCCTGCCTCGGCCTCCCAAAGCGCTGGGAGTACAGGCATGAGCACCGCGCCCAGCCCTAGTTTTTAATCTATAGTCAGATTTCCACAGTTGCCCTCCAAATGTCTTTCATTGCTTTTTGTTTTGTTTTGTTTTCAAAATAAGATCCATGATGTATTGCATTTCTTTATGTCTCTTAAATCTCTTTTAATTTAGAATCATCTCCTCTCTGCCTCTCTCTCTCTCTTTTTTTTTTTTTTAAGACAGATTCTGGCTTTGTTGCCCAGGCTGGAGTGCCGTGGTGTGATCTTGACTCACTGCAGCCTTGACCCTCTGGGCTCAAGTGATCCTCATGCCTCAGCCTCCCAAAGTGCTGGGATTACAGGCGTGAGCTACTGCACCCGACCTCCTCTCTCTTTTTATAAATGACATTGACTTTTGTTAGAGATCAGGCCAGCAGTCTTGTAGATGTCTGATGTTCTAGATCTGACTTTTTCCTCATCGTGTTACTCACTTTGTTCCTCCATCTCCTGAACTTCCTGTAAACTGGGACATAGGTCTAGGCTTGATGAGATGCAGATAAACCTCGCTGGCCAGGCACGGTGCCTCACTCCTGTAATCCTGGCTGTTTGGGAAGCCGAGGTGGGCAAATCACCTGAGGTCAGGAGTTCGAGACCAGCCTGGCCAATGTGGTGAAACTCTGTCTCTACTAAAAATACAAAAGTTAGCTGGGCATGGTAGCACACTCCTGTAATCCCAGCTACTTGGGAGGCTGAGGCATGAGAATCACTTGAACCTGTGAGGTGGAGGTTGCAGTGAGCCGAGATCACGCCATTGTACTCCAGTATGGGCAACAGCATGAGACTCTGTCTCAAAAAAAACAAAAAACAAAAACAAAAACAAAACCTCACTAAGCTTTCTGGGGGTCTCTTTCTCTGACAGCCCTTCTTAGAGTGGGTAAGGCCGGCAGGTGTATGAACAAGTATGTAAAGTTTTAGCATAGCGCCTGGTACAGAGGCAGTCTCAGTACATGGTGGCAGCTCCTAATACTTGTCCCTGCCTTAGGCCAGACATTTTACTCCAATGTTTGTTCCTGGGAACCTGTTACCCTGACGATTCTCCTGGACTGGCCAGGCAGCAGTAGCTTTCCCCTGCTGGGGATCTGGGCCCTGGGCTGCCTTGGCCATTCCCCGTCTTTCTCTCCTCCTGCCCTCAGACAACACAGGCAGTTCTACATACCGGCCACCCCCTCGGACCCGGGAGGTGCTGATCAATGGGCAGATGGTGAAGCTAAAGTACTGCTTCACCTGCAAGATGTTTCGGCCACCCCGAACCTCACACTGCAGTGTCTGTGACAACTGTGTGGGTGAGTAGGAGGCGGCAGGGAGGGATGCAGGGATTCCTGAGAGAGACTGAGTCCTGGGGGTGGGGGGACATCACGCATGGGGATGGTGTGGGCAGGGTCTGAAATACCCAGGGCTGGGCAGGGGGACTGGTTCACCCAGATTTGCCCTGACTCAGGAGGGCCCAGGGGAGGGGCCCTCAGCTTCACCAGGAGTGTTTTGGCTTCAGCTCTGGATTGGTGGATTCCTTCCCCCAGCTCGGAGGTGCGGGGCAGACAGAGGGGCCTTGAACCCTTCTCCCAAGCTTCAGCCCGCTCCTCAGGAAGTCAAACCTCCCAGGAAACAGACTGAAATAATAACATTCCAGATGTGTTTGGGCCAGAAAGAATGATTTACTGTCCAGTGGCCCAGGGCACCAGCTGTACTGAAAGACTTTGATCTGATTCCCAGGGTTGAGAGGGACAAGCATCTGGGAAGAGAGGCATTTAAGCTGATGAGGTGCAGAGGATGTCACCACTGGAAATGGCTCCTGACCCTACAGCTGCCTGCAGTGGTTGTTTTGTCCCCTCTCCCTGCCCTCCAGAGGCTGTGTAGTTGTGACGGGCACCAAGGGTGGTCCCCTGGAAGGGTGCTGTAAGGGAAACGCTGCGTGAGAGGGCGCAGGTGAGCTGAGCCACAGTGACTGTGCACAGTTCCCAGGGCAGTGAGATCATCATGCCAGCTCAGTACTCCCTGAGCAAGAGAACAGCAGGGAGCACCCCATGACGGCATGCAGCAAAGGGGGTGACTCAGTGGGCACCATTCATCCCCGAGGAGCTGCCCCGCCCACCCCCTGCAAAGGGCGCTGGCCTTGGCATGAGGCCTGCAACGGGCTTGTGACCCACATTCCCACAGGGACTTCCTTTACCAGAGTCTGGGTGTGCCTCCACCCCCGGGGACAGTGTGCAGGTGAGCTCAGCCCTTTGACCTGGCCTGTGATGCTGGCTGGCTGTGAACCACATTGCAGCCCAGCCCCTCCCTGGGCCGCTAGTCCTAGAGCAGGGGACAGGGGTTATTGACTGTTAGCATGTGGTTGGGATGGTAGACCACGTGACAAGTACTTTTGTGAGTTTTTGTGCCGGCGCTGCTCCGGATCCTGGGGAGTCAGCATGGTGTGAGACCAGCACAGCCCCCCTCGCCCATGGAGCTTACAGTCAAGTAGGGCTGATTGGCCAATCCAGTAATTATAAATAAGCATAAAAACACACATGTGCAGAGGGCCACAAAAGAGAAGTGATGGGGCAGATAACAGGGCCCCCCCACCTAGTCTGGGATTGGAAGAGACTTTCTTAAGAAGGTGGTTTTGCAGCTGAGACATGGAGGAGAAGTTCCAGTTAGCCAGGTAAAGAGACAGGAGAAAGTGTATCAGGCAGTGGGAACTGGTACACAAAGGACCAGAGGCAGGTGTGTCCAAGGCCTGGGAGCCAGCTGGTGCTGTGAGAGTGAGCGGAGTAGGAAAACACCAGCCATGGTTGAGGCTGCCAAATGCCTGTGCTGGCTGCAGGCCAGCCCACACTAACCCATCGCCCCTTGCCCTTGTCCAGAACGATTTGACCATCACTGCCCCTGGGTGGGCAACTGTGTGGGGAGACGGAACTATCGCTTCTTCTACGCGTTTATTCTCTCCCTCTCATTCCTGACGGCCTTCATCTTCGCCTGCGTGGTCACCCACCTGACGTTGCGTGAGTTGGGGGTGAGGGCAGCGGGGGAGTGGAACGGGCCAGCCAGCAAGCTCAAGGGTCAGCAAGCTTCAGCAGTCACTGTCCCTCTGAGCTTGTCCTCTCCTGTTTGTTTCTCCCCAGGTGCTCAGGGAAGCAACTTCCTCTCCACTCTGAAGGAGACACCAGCAAGATATCCTTTGTCAGCTAGAGGACACTCCAGTGGGAACTGAGGTCCCTTCACTGGGTGGGTCCCATGCCTCATCCTCTAATCAGAGGGGAACAGCATACAGCTCACATGTGTCCTCTAGAATCCAGTGTACCAGCTCCTCTGTTCACACCCAGACAAGAGCTGATTCTACATGGGGCATTGTGGGGCCGGGGGTCCCCGTCTTCAGGGGCCTGGAAGAGAGTATGTCCCTTAAGATGCCAAGCTCCCTGGACCGTGTCATGCCTGAGGCTCTTTATGATTGGAACCCTTAGTTTTGTCTGCCGTCTGTCACTCTCACCTTGTCTGGCTCTTGAGTGGGGTCCTGACCTTCCGTGGAGCCCAGGAGGTGATCCTGCTAAGAAGTAGGGACTGGGCCACAGGAAGGTTCCAAAACTTCTCAGCTCTCTGGGGAAACAGCTTCATGGAAGGATAGGTGAGACAGACCAGGCTGGGAGGCTCCCCACCCTCCACCCGTTTAGGTCCTTAACTGCCTCACCGTGCTGGAGTTGGTCATCTGCTTCTTCTCCATCTGGTCCATTCTGGGCCTCTCAGGGTTTCACACGTACCTCGTCGCCTCCAACCTGACTACTAATGAAGACGTGAGTAAATCTGGAGCCACCCCTCATTCTAGGGCAGCGCCCTCAGGAGGAGGCAGGGCTGAGGGAGCCTGGGGCAGCCAAGCGCAGTCCTGACTCAGGGACTGCTGGGAAAACGCCTGTTAAGCAGCCAGATGCCTCCCAGTCCTCTCAGCTTGGCCCTGGTGGGTCCGATGCAGGCTTCTGAGACCTCCACATGCTTCATTCTCTCAGTGCGGGCTCTCAAGGCCCCAGGTTGCTTTTCTCCACAGCCCCGCAGGAGGCAGTGCCCATACCACAACACACATGATGTTTGGCTGGCACATGACCGCTTACGGAATTCTTTCCGTTCCCGTCATCTCTTTGGGTCCTTTTGCCAAGCCTGAGGCAGAAAGGACAGGGATGCTTTTTCCCCATTCGATGACTGAGAGACATGTCCCCTGTCTGGGAGGTCACACAGCTGGGAGGGGACAGAGGCAAGGTCGGTGCCCAGTCAGGTGCTCTCCCTCTTGCACACTGCCCCTGTCAGCAGCAAAGCCGTGACTGTTCTCAGGGTGTCACCAGCCTGTCCTGGCTGCCCCTCTTAATATGCACACCTGGGGGAGACAGGGGACAGGCCAGTGGGTTCCATTGACCCTCCCTACCTGGCACCCTGCAGACTGCCATCAACAAGCATGTTTGATGTGCCCAGCCCTGGGCCAGACCTGACTTCCCCTCGCCATCCTCCAAACACTAAAAAGCAAATGAGAGCATCTGTTTCAGGGCCCACCATCAACCCATCCTCCAACAGAAAATACATTCCCAGACCTCATCCTCTCATTCAGGGAAACAAAACTTAACACACATGACAGGGCGTTGTGTGCTTGGTGATCGGTGAGAACAGAAATGCCGTCAGCCAGCATCTCCCTCTGTAGCTTCTTGGGTGCCAGTTCTGCAGCACATTACCAGAGGTTAAAGAGAAAGGAGTGTGTGGCCAAATAAGTGTAGAAAGCTCTAGGTATGATTAGAGCTCTAGCTCTAGGTAATACCTCTAGGTCAAAGTATTCTTTATTGCTAAACTCCCCAGTGCCTTCCATAGCTTGGCTTCACAGAGCTAGAGAATCTGGCAAAGATTAATCTAATGCCCTGGCAATGCCATCTGAGAATTAGTATTATTTTCCCTATTTTCCACATGATGACTTAGGCTCAGCAAAGTGGTGATCTGTCCAGGTAGCATAGCCAGTGAGTAGCAGGGCTGGGGCTCACAGGCAGGTCAGCCCTCGCCCTGTGCCCCTGCACTACCCTCCTTCAGAAGCGGCTGGCCAGAGAAGGGAGGAGTCATCCGAAAGGTTTCCTCTGGTGCTTCTCTTGGGCTCTGCTCTGTCATCTCCTCTTTGGGGCCTCCTGATCTCTGCCAGGGGTCCCCCACACCCTCATTGAATGGCCCACATGAAAGACATGTCCCCTTCTCTAACCAGAATTGGTTTTGGAATTGACCAGCTGTCCCCAGCCTCTAGACCTCCCTCCTAGAAAAGTGAAGCAAAAGGAGGCACTTGACCCAGGCCTCCTTCCTGCTTGCAGATCAAAGGCTCGTGGTCCAGCAAGAGGGGCGGCGAGGCCTCTGTCAACCCCTACAGCCATAAAAGTATTATCGCCAACTGCTGCGCTGTGCTGTGTGGCCCCCTACCTCCCAGGTAAGCGAGTGGGGTACAGAAGAGGGGTAACAGGGCCAGGCCTGGCCAGTGATTAAAGTGTTCCTGGATGTCAGCCGACCTCCTCCTATACCCTAGATGCCCTCCATCCACCACCCTCTGGAGGGCATTTGTCATGTGAAGGAATTCCATGGAGAATTGTTATTTAATCACGTGCTCATTGTAGAAAAAAAAATTAAGTACAAAATGTAAAACAGAAGAGCATTGGATATGACATGTAATCCTGCTCCCCGGGGATAACCACCATGACTGTTTCAGCCACGCTTGAATGACACTGCCCTTCCAGTTGCCCACTGCACGGACTGGGTGGCGACTCCATCCTCTCCTGGCAGTAGGAACCCTGGGGACTCAGCCCTGCTGGGACACTCCCTGTTCATCCTGACACCAGGGGGCACCAGAGAGCTCCAGAACGGGATTAAATTGCTGTAGGCACTGCCAGAACGAGTCATTCCCACATAGTCATGTCCCCTGCCCCACCCAGTATCCCTGTCACCCAGCCTGCCTAGAGGGGAAAGGAACACAGGAATCTCATAGTCACCAAATACCTGTTCATCCTTGCTTTCTCCCGTCACCTGCAGCCTGGCTTCTTGGCAGCCAGACAGGTGGGCCAGTTGGAATTAATAGTAAATACATTCTGTGGCCAAAAGCCAGGTGGCCAGAGGGCAGAGAGAGGCCCGCCAGAGGTAAGGGTCTTTGGCCCCCAGATGGGGAGCAGCTGTCCTTTCCTCAGCCTTTCTTGGCCTGGGCCTTTCCTTGGCTGAGATAGACTCTGCCGTCCAGCCGCTGGCCTGGAGGCTCAGGGTTGGACAGAGCCCTCATGTGTCCCTCTTGTGTTTTGGAAGCCTGATTGACCGGAGGGGATTTGTGCAGTCTGACACCGTGTTGCCCTCACCCATCAGAAGCGATGACCCAGCCTGCAGAGCCAAGCCTGACGCCAGCATGGTAGGAGGCCACCCCTGACCATGGCTCAGTACTTGCCACCTGCTGGCCTGTCTGCCCCTCCGCACTCACCTGCCGGGACCCTCCCTGTTCCATCCAAGGGAAGCAGAACTGCCAAAGACTCAAGTCTTTTCATATTTATTTCCCCCCCTGCGTGGCTTTCCCTGAACTGTTCCGTGGCTGTGCCCTCTGCTCCCCAAACCCAGGTTCCCACAGCCTTGGGCCCTAGGTCCCCCTAGCTGATCAGTGCCAGGAGAGACCAGAGCCTCTGGAGGCCACCCAGGGGACGACACCAAGTCCTTGCCTGTGCCAGGCGAGCCCTGTGTGAGTGAGGCTGTGAACTGAGCGTGAGGCCTCCCAGGTGGGGGAACTGCTTGGGCCTTGCTGAGCCAAGGTCCTCAAGGTGAAGCAGGACGGAGGAGCGGCCAGCTCTGGACAGAGGGCTGTGGAGAGGAAGCCTCTATGGGCTGCTTTGGTCTGTGGGCTCCTTCATTCTCTTGGTGATAATTGCTCTTTCTTCTTTGGGATTTTTGGTGGGGTTTTTTCCCCCTTTTTTTAATGGAGTTGGCCAATAGGATAGAGCTGGGGTTCCAGTAGAGAAGGCAGGGTTGGTGGTGGGTGGGGGCAGCCTCTATCAGACCAAGGTGAATTACCCAGCCAGGCACCCACAGCCTCAGCTCCTGTGCAGGTCCTGGGCAGCACAGTGGAAGTGCGAGCCTGGTCCCTCCCCTGCCTGTGGCGAGCTCTTTAAGGGATCCCAGCCTGCCCCTCCACCTCTCTCCCAAGCCAGGTCCGGGCATGGGTAGGTTATGCTCATGCTGGCAATACTTGAAACGGGTTTATTAATGCTGGGTATTTTGCACAATTTTATAGACCTCTTTTCTACATAGTCTTTTTTTAAATGGAAGGAGAAAAGGTCAGCCACATTACTGTCTGTGTAGTGCCAGGTGAAAGGTTATCAGAAGGCTGGTTGGTTTTAATAAGTTTATTCCAAGAGACCTTCTGACTGGAATGAATGAGAGTGTGTGTGCATGTGTGTGTGTGTTCGTGTGTGCCCTGTATGAATGTGGCTGGCTCCCATATCCCCTGGGCTGCCCCCTGCCCCCTGCCCTATCCCCTTTGAGTGTCAGAAGCACTCTGAGCCAAGAGGACAGGGGGCACGTGCATTGGTCACGAGAAAACCCTGGGCTCCCACTGGGGCTCAGCCCAGCCTCCTATCTTTCCTTCTTCTGTGGACTTCAGACAGCCAGTGTCTGGGGACTCTGCCACTCTACCCCCAGCCCTACCCTCCAGCCCCCAGGTGAGGCTTCCAGCTGGGACCTGCCCAGGCAGGCTGAGCCTGGGTGTGGTGGGTGGGGTGATGGCTCTGGGGAGTGGCTGCCATCCTACAAGCCACACCCCCTCCTCTGAGCTCGGAATATGGGACCCAGTGCCGGGAGCCGGAAGACAAGGTGTTTCTGCCAAGCGGGGACCTCCATCCAGAGAAAAGGAAGGAAGGTGCAGGGTGGGCCAAGAGGCAAGTGAAGGTTGGCCTAAGTCTGGGCCGGAAACTCAGAGGATGTTTCTCCTCTGCTGGGAGCTATAGTTTCTTATCAAAATAGATATTGTCCCACCATCCCCTTCCTTGGCTCTTCAAGTGGGCTGAAGCCCTTGGAAAGTGACATAGGAAGTCCCCAGATCTTGCCCGTCTCACTCCAGAGGCCAGTGGTCACAGACAGCTGGGAATGGCAGCCACAGAGGGTCCCGTCTGGGAGAAACAGCTTCATTCACCCCAACCTCAGGGCCCTGGGCCATCACTGCAGTGGCCCTGGGAGTTGAGGAAGAAGCTGGCTAGAGGAGGGGGCTCCCATCTACCTTTTATTTAAGCCAGTATTCTTTGTTCCTGCCTGTAATAAAACTTTAGTTTATAAGAGTTGATTTGCTTTGGTTTGGTTTTTGTTTGCTTTTCCTTTGCTGAGGCCCCAGCTGGCAGCCCTCTGTTCTTTCGGACAAAGTTGGTTATTTCCTGGGGAGACTGTGCGAAGGCAGGCAGCCCAGTGATCTGGCTACATCTTCCCTCACCTGGCTGGAGCTCTGTCCGCCGGAGGCAGACCAGAGAGGGCTGTGGCTGAGCCCCCATGGGCACGTGAAAAGAGGCCATCCTGTCCCCTCTTTGTCCCCTCCACCTTCCCCTGCCTCAGGGGCTTGGAGACCCCCAAATTCTTCTTCCCTACTGCCTTTCCACTCCGATCCCCAGTGAGTGCTCAGCTAAGAAAACGTTTGAGACGGTAGATTCCAGTTTGAGAGCCGGAGCTTCCCTGGCTACCACCTCCAACCTGGGCAGCAGGGCCCAGCCAGACAACTCATAACACTGGCCCACCTCTCTGGTATCTCCCTCAGGAGGACACCTGTCAGGATTTTGCCATCTCCTGCACAGCCTGAGGGGAGCTAACAGGTCTCTTTGCAGAGGGTTAGCGGGTAAGACCGTTTCTCCCCTGTCGGCCAGCACTGCCCGCTCCCTTCACACACCATCTCATCTTCATCGCATGCCTCGCCAACCCCATGGAGCCCGTCCATCTGTCTGGTGTGTGGTGCGGTGTGTGTGCTGGTGGTGGTAGGGTCTCCAGGGATTCCCTGCTAAGCACAAGGATCGGGATATAGGGCCAGGCTAAGAGCCCAGCCCCACTGTGGACTGAGGAGGTAGCTTCGCGCAGAGCAGCTCTCCAGCTGGAAGAGGAGGGTGAGGGTGAGGCTGGGGAGAGGATGGCGAACCTGCCCTGAGGTGCTTGGGTCTGTGCTGGTGGAGTCCTGGTATGCAGGGGCCACCAGTCACTAACGCTCTTGTGTCCTGGCTTTCTGTCCCCGCTGAGCTTTCTCTCACCTGCCCGTTTTCTCTCCTGCTTTGTTGCCTGCTGCCTGAGCCTTGCTTGCCCCTTTTCTCGGGGAGAGAGGCAGGTGCTGTGGCAGCACCTGTCCCCACCACCGGGGCCCCTGCAGGCCGCCTCCCTCCTCCCAACCCCGCTAACCCTCTCTCTTCTCCTTCTTTGCTGTCCTGCCGGGGATCTCCAGTGTGTGCGGGGGCTTAAAGACCTCCTGAGGACCGCTGCTCTCTGCCTCTCCAGGAGTGGCCTGGGGGGAGCCAGGCACCCGGCACCTCCACCTGCCTAACCTGTGGCCCATCTGCCACCATCTGTGCCTACAGGGTCTGCCCCCAAGCCTGCCCTGCCTGTGTGCTCTCTAGGGCCCCCATAGGGGGCAGGGGCTGGACTCTGCCCCACTCCCGCTCCATGCCGGCCAGAGTGTAGAAAGCCATAACGCAGCCATCAGCACAATAATGTGACTCTATGCTGAAATGCTCCCTCTCTCTTCCACTGACTTCCCCTTCCCCGGATTTGTGAGGTGTCAAGACTCTAGGAATCTGGCCTTACAGCCTGTCCCTCCACCCCCTCAGATCAGGCATAGCCATAGTCAAGCCCAGCAGGTTTCCTCAGGAACTGTCTGGGGTGTTGATGGTGGATGACGCTGCTGAACAAGTTTGGTGACTGTTCTAAGCACAACTGGCTTGACACTGTTCCCACGGCCTGTCCACCTCCCACCCCCAACCCTCCACCGGAGTAGGTAAGATGTAGGGAGGGTGCGTGCCTCCTTTGCTCTAGGCACCGAGGGACCGAGCCAGCTGTGCACAGCCCCATACGCTTCAGGGGACTAAAGGAAACAGCTGGTCCAAGGAAAATCAGCTGAGCCCAGGGCTGGGGGTTGCTTGTCTGCTATCCTGTACGTTTTTTTAACCAAAATAAAGATTCCCCTTTTCTTGCCATACCATTGGCTGTCTGGTGCCACCTTTACTTTGGGGCCCAGGGATGGGACCTGTAGTGGGCGTGCAGAACATATGGCTCCCCCTCGCTCCCAGCTTTCTTCCAACTGGCCAGTGCTGCTCTGGAGATTTAAAAGCACAACAAAGCCAGCAGGCACACAGGAAAAGTGGTTGGCATCCTTTTCACTCTGCCCCTCCAGAACTCTTGGTCTCAATTCCAGACACCACCCAGCCTTAGCTGACCTCTGGTTTCGGAAAGGTCCCAGCGCAGGCTGAGACAGAGAGTTGTTAAGTTTGGGACTGCCATACCCATGAACTGAGCCCAGCCCAGGGTAATGATCTCATGGAGCCTTCACTCTCCCCAGCTGCTGCCCCACGTCAAGATACACACATGTGCATACACGGTACTATGGGCCAAAAAATAATTACCGCTACCATTCAGCAAGGGCTTGCTGAGTCCCAGGAGGGACTCTTGTCCGCCAGAGGCAGGCAGAGAGGGCTGTGGCTAAGCCCCCATGGGCACATGAAAAGAGGCCATCCTGTCCCCTCTTTGTCCCCTCCACCTTCCCCTGCCTCAGGGGCTTGGAGGCCCCCAAATTCTTCTTCCCTACTGCCTTTCCATTCCGATCCCCAGTGAGTGCTGAGCTAAGAAAACGTTTGAGATGATAGATTCCAGTTTGAGGAGGATGATGTCACCCTTTTTACAGATGAGGGAACTGAGACTCAGGGAAGAAACAGGAGCTGCCCAAGGTCACCCAGCTGGCAAAGCAGCAAATCCCAGATCGGAACCTGATCTCTGCCCCGAGCTCTGAGCCATCTGCACTACCTAAGGAATGAATACAGCAGTGGGAGGATGAGATCTTGGAGAAACCCTAAAATTAGAGAATGTCATAGCCAGTAGAGGGCTTAGAGTTGATCTGGGCCAGCCTCCTTGTTTTACTGATGGGGAAATTGAAGCCCAGAGGCAGGAAGGGACCTGCCCAAGGCCTTAAAACAGAGCTGGGATGCAGTCCCACACTCTGACCTCATTCCATTCTCTCTTCATAAATTCCGCACTGTCTCTAGACTGGACTGGTTTAGATGTGGGATACTCTAAACAGCAGTGCCTTCAAGAGAAAAAGAATCAGAACCACGAATTACTTAAAAGTAATGTAGGCTACTCTGGGCACACTGCCTATGGGGTCGCCCTGCTCCACAAGGAGCAGTAAAGATAATAAATATAATTGAATATCCCTTCCCAAAGGCAACTAGTAAAGTGAGCCCTTGGCTAGGTAACTGCACTTTTGTTCACAACTAGCCAGTGGGAAAAGGTGCTAGAGCTTCCTCTGGCCACCTGTTTAATTTGATCATTCCAAGACGGAAACATTTCTCAGGAAGTTCTTTCTAGAATCTACCTGGCATCCCTCCCATTGCTATCAGAGCCCTGTCCTCTGTCCTCAGTGGAGGTAGACAGCAAATGGTTGCTGCCTTCATCACAACCCTTCAAAGCCTATTATTACCAGCTAAGAAGGATTGGTTGACTATGGGGCTAGAGCCCTTAAGCCTGCTGGTAGAATGGATGCTGTACAGGAGGAGGGTGGGGAGGTAGCAAGCAGGATGAGGATAGCCCCTTTGGGCTGCAACCCCAGCTCCTGTCCTGCTGACTCAGACAGCTGACTGTGGAGCTCCATGCCTTGCCAGGGCCTGCTGCCTCCTGCCCGTCTGAGCTCCTGAACTTGGGAAATGGAGGCCCGGAGGCAAAGGGAGGTACCTGAGACAGGAACTGAGTCAGGATCAACAGGCCAGAGCGGGCAGGAGGTGTCAGGCAGCCTGGCTCCCAGATGCACCCCTGAGCTCCAGCAGGGGAGGAGTAGGAATGAAGGGGCTTCCCTGCCCTTGCTCATGGCTATGCGGAGGGCGTGAACCACCACCAGGTCCCCTGGCTTCAGTGGCAGAAAGCAAACGGTCCCTCCCTGGACTCAAGCTCCAAAGTTCCTGGGCCTGCCAGGCCCTGCCTTCCAGGTTCCCAGTGTCCTGGGATCTCCAGCTTTCTCCCAGGACTTGGGGAAGCCTCGACTAGATGACTAGTACAAAGGAAGGCCCCTGAGGTTCCAGGAGCTGCTGAGGTCACAGGAATGTCCTGATCAAGCTTGACCAACCCACGGCCCGCAGGCTGCATGTGGCCCAGGACAGCTTTGAATGCAGCCCAACACAAATTAGTAAACTTTGTTAAAACATTATGAGATTTTTTTGCACCTTTTTTTTTTTTTTTAGCTCATCAGCTGTCGGTAGTGTTGGTGTATTTTATGTGTGGCCCAAGACGATTCTTCTTCCAATGTGGCCCAGGGAAGCCAAAAGATTGGACACTCCTGTCCCAGATGGAGAGGAAGGAGGCAGTGCTGAGCACATCTGGCCGTCTGGCCATTCATCCATCTGGAGAGAGAAGGCTATGGGCAAACTGCCTCCTTCTCTCCCCTGTAGACACCCAACTGGGAAGGTCTGGCCTTTGGCTAAGTCCTGGCTTGGGGTCCTTCCTCATTTCACAGAACCTAGCTCTATGTTAGTGCTTTGTGAGTATATGTGGATCATAATAAAGTTGATGGGATTTTTTCACATGACAATAATAGTTGCCATCTGGCCAGGCACAGTGGCTTATGCCTGTAATTTCAGCACTTTGAAAGGCTGAGGCGGGTGGATCACTTGAGGTCAGGAGTTCGAAACCAGCCTGGCCAACATGGTGAAACCACATCTCTACTTAAAAAAAAAAAAAAGAAATATATACACACACACACACACACACGCACACACACACACTAGCCACGCGTGGTGGTGCACTCCTGTAATCCCAGTTACTCGGGAGGCTGAGGCAGGAGAATCGCTTGAACCCAGGAGATGGAGGTTGCAGTGAGCCGAGATTATGCCGCTACACTCCAGCCTGGATGACGACCGAAACTCCATCTCGAAAAAAAGAAAAAAATAATAATAGTTTCCATCCATTCTACTGTGCTTTCCATTAACTCGTGTAATCCTCTCAAGTCCCATTTTATACCTACAGGAACTGAGGCTCACAGAGCTTAAATCATTTGGCCAAGGCCACAAACAGCTATAAGATTTACATTTAGGCAGTCTGATTCCAAGGGTACTAGGCTATTCTGTATCTCATAGACAAACAATACATATTCACTTTTTTATCGTCGTTTTGTTTTGAGACGGAGTCTCGCTCTGTCACGCAGGCTGGAGTGCAGTGGCGTGATCTCGGCTCACTGCAACCTCCGCCTCCCGGGTTCAAGCAATTCTCCTGCCTCAGCCTCCCAAGTAGCTGGGACTACAGGTGTGCGCCACCACGCCTGGCTAATTTTTTGTATTTTTAGTAGAGATGGGATTTCACCATGTTAGCCAGGATGGTCTTGATCTCCTGACCTCGTGATCCGCCTGCCTCGGCCTCCCAAAGTGCTGGGATTACAGGCGTGAGGCACCGCACCCTACCCATATTCACTATTTATAAATTGGAAAGAATAAGAAAATCAAACAGACCAGGTGTAGTGACTCACACCTGTAATCCCAGCACTTTGGGAAGCCAAGGCAAGAGGATTGCTTGAACCCAGGAGTTTGAGACCAGCCTGGGCAACATGGTGAGACCCTGTCTCTACAAAAAATACAAAAATTAGCTGGGCGTTGTGGTGAGCACCTGTAGTCCCAGCTTCTTAGGAGGCTGAGACAGGAGGATCACCTGAGGCCAAGGAAGTTGAGAGTGCAGTGAGCTGTGATCATACCACTGTACTTCAGCCTGGACAACAGAGTGAGACCCTATCCCAAAAAAAGAAAATAGAAAAGAAAATCAAAGGGAAGCAAAATCAGTCAGTCTCACTACCTCAAGATACCCTCTATAAGCTGGTATTTTCGTGTGGTTCCTATCGTTTTCTACGTCAGTTCTCTGAATTGAGCAAAATCTTTGGGCTGTCAAACCTGAAATCCCCTTTACTTCCTTGGAAACCCTGTAGCATTAGTCCAGACATGTCCCTACTCCTCCTTGTGGCAAAAGAGAAGAATCTCATCTTTGGTCCCCAGAGTTCTGGCCTAAGCCTCCCTCTAGGAGGGAAGATGAGTGTTCAGACACTCAGGGTACCTGGGGGAGACACAGGCCTGTGAAATTATCCTAGCTCAACTATTAGGCGGGCAGAATCCCAGTGAAAGGAGCCGTACCCGAGGTCCATCTAAGCTTTGGCTAGGGGTGGGGCAGATAAGCAGGAATCCATCCCTGTAGGCTCAATGCCAACACCCTTTGGTGAAACTCCTGATGAAACTTGAGGCCAGGGCCCCAGCAAGCAGGGAAAGAAGGTTGGCAACAGAGGTCTCCATCTGAGGACTCTGCCAGGGGTCAGAGGTGGGGTAATGGTCAAAAGGAAGGAAGTGGCTCATGCCCATAATCCCAGCAGTTTGGGAGGCTGAGGCAGGAGAATTGCTTGAGCCCAGGAGTTTGAGACCTGCCTGGGCAATGTAGTGAGATCCTGTCTCTATTTAAAAAAAAAAAAAAAAAAAGGAAGGAACAGGGAAACTTCTGAGAGACAGGCTGGGGGAGGCATCACGTAGCTGGGATTGCTGCCCCATAAAACAGAATGGTATGTGTCACTGCCACCTCCCTTTCTCAGTCCTCTCTCTCCCCAGGTTGCTAGCGTCCCCCCTGGGGGATCAAACTGGACTGCTTCCCAGCCTCAGACAGAGAGCAGTCTGAGTCAGGCAGGAAAGTGGGACAGCCGGGGAGCTGGACCCCACCCTCTGTGAACCCCACTGGTACCTGATGGCATGTGGCTTGGAGAGGGCAAGTGACCTGGTGTGGAGGGCCAGAGGGTAAATCCTCAAACAAGTGGCAACAGGCCACCAACTTGAAAGGGAAAATTGTGTAGTGATGGGAAATGTGTCCAACAAACCTACTGGGTGACTAATTACAAAGGCTGGGCTGGAGCGTCAGAGGCTGCTTGTTAAACACTTCATTAAGTGGCACTCTGAAAGCTGCCACCTGCGCATTCTGGGAGCTCACAGGGGACCCTGAGGGGGAGTGAGGCCTGAGGGATGGAACCATCTTCAGGTAGATTGAGAAAGAGCCTGGATCTTACTTCCAAACACAGCCTGGAGCTCATAGGTCAGAGACTTCAACGGGAGAAAAGCTAAAGGAAGCAGGGTGCAGAAAGGAGTTTCAGGGAAGTGGTGGCTATGTGACTTTGAGCAAATCTCACCCCTCTCTGAGACTTAGTGTTCCCATCTCTGTGGTCCTGTGTGTGTCACAGAGACACAGTGGGGATTAAATTCGATCGTGAATATGAAAGTGCTTGGGAAACTCTATGGCCCTACCTAAACATGAGTTATCCTCACCTGAATCAAGGGGAGAAGTTACCTGGCAGGATTAGGAACCCCATCCTCCTGAACCTTTATGGGCTCTGTCGAGGCAGAAGCAGCCAGGGGCTAAAGCCGCCCTTAGCCTCTGTAAGGGCGCTGTGAAGGAGGATCTGATTTGAGAAGCCAGGCAGTTTCCTGATGTGAGCAGCCATATGATGCTAGCCCCGAACAAGAGGGGGCAGCCTAGAGCCTGGAAAGGTGCCTGTGCAGGTGGGGCCCACGCCCAGATTTCTTCTGCTGACTGTTCTGATGACTCACCCCCACATCCCAGCCTTTTTACCTTTACTGCAGAGCCGGAAAGGGTGTGGGGAGGAGAGGAGAGGGAGGCAGGTCTTGGGCCCTGGTCCCGCCCCCTGCTCCTCCCCACCCTTCTCTGGGCCTGGCCACCCAGCCAAAAGGCAGGCCAAGAGCAGGAGAGGCACAGAGTCCGGCATTGGTCCCAGGCAGCAGTTACCCCGCCGCCCGCCTGTGTGTCCCCAGAGCCATGGAGAGAGCCAGTCTGATCCAGAAGGCCAAGCTGGCAGAGCAGGCCGAACGTTATGAGGACATGGCAGCCTTCATGAAGGGCGCCGTGGAGAAAGGTGAGGAGCTCTCCTGCGAAGAGCGAAACCTGCTCTCAGTAGCCTACAAGAATGTGGTGGGCGGCCAGAGGGCTGCCTGGAGGGTCCTGTCCAGTATTGAGCAGAAAAGCAATGAGGAGGGCTCGGAGGAGAAGGGCCCCGAGGTGCGTGAGTACCGGGAGAAGGTGGAGACTGAGCTCCGGGGCGTGTGCGACACCGTGCTGGGCCTGCTGGACAGCCATCTCATCAAGGAGGCTGGGGACGCGGAGAGCAGGGTCTTCTACCTGAAGATGAAGGGCGACTACTACCGCTACTTGGCCGAGGTGGCCACTGGTGACGACAAGAAGCGCATCATCGACTCAGCCCGGTCAGCCTACCAGGAGGCCATGGACATCAGCAAGAAGGAGATGCCGCCCACCAACCCCATCCGCCTGGGCCTGGCCCTGAACTTTTCCGTCTTCCACTACGAGATCGCCAACAGCCCCGAGGAGGCCATCTCGCTGGCCAAGACCACTTTCGATGAGGCCATGGCTGATCTGCACACCCTCAGCGAGGACTCCTACAAAGACAGCACCCTCATCATGCAGCTGCTGCGAGACAACCTGACGCTGTGGACGGCCGACAACGCCGGGGAAGAGGGGGGCGAGGCTCCCCAGGAGCCCCAGAGCTGAGTGTTGCCCACCACCGCCCCGCCCTGCCCTGCCCCCTTCAGTCCCCCACCCTGCCGAGAGGACTAATATGGGGTGGGAGGCCCCACCCTTCTCCCCCAGGCGCTGTTCTTACTCCAAACGGCTCCGTGGAGAGGGACTGGCAGAGCTGAGGCCACCTGGGGCTGGGGATCCCACTCTTCTTGCAGCTGTTGAGCGCACCTAACCACTGGTCATGACCCCAGCCCTGCTCTCCGCACCGCTTCCTCCCGACCCCAGGACCAGGCTACTTCTCCTCTCCCTCTTGCCTCACTCCTGCCCCTGCTGCCTCTGGTCGTAGGAATTGAGGAATGT